CGCCATTTTTTCTTCAACAAATGTATCCCTGGCATAAGCTCATTGAAATAAGGTTTTCACTAATTTGCTACAAGAAACTGGAATTATACGAAACCTTTCTTTAACACACCATGCATATACTCTTTAGTTCGAGATCCTTCTCCTGCTTTTCAAGAAAATTGATATCTTTAATGATATCATTAAAGAATCTAAGATTTTCAGACTTCACAATCATGACAATGCCTAGCCTATTTGTTATTTCAATAAAAAAGAAAATATAATAATCTAATGTTATTACATGTTTATAGATTTGCTTTTTCGCTCTGCATAACTAGTGCTCTTTCTAATATATTGCTTGAGACTTAACCACATGTCGAACATTTTGGACATTCTTGTTCATCGAGTTAAATTTACTTGAAATTTGTGGTCCATCTTCACAAACCTTTCCTCTTTGAGGAGCGGAGGACGGAAGCAAGCCAGCAGACATGCATCCAGGCTCGGTTTTGTTTCGGACATGTCCTCAGTGCTGCGCCATATGCACGGAGACCTGATAGTCACAGGTACAGAGAACACCATTTTTTTCTCGGTGCTGTCAGTGTAAGGGATGACTGGAACTGATTTAATTGGGAACAGTGTTTTCCAACCCAAACTGCAGGAACCATTATTCCAAACTGCCAATTTTAGACACCTTGTGGAATAATGAAGTTATCTATGCGTCGTGACGCACAGGTCGCTTTATGGCATTCCATATTGTGGTTTTCGGTAACGTTTCATTTTGCATTCTTCTAGGACTGTCAACCTCGCACACGACCAAACACGATGTAAAATCACTGACGCTCTACATCCCAAGATCCTACTCATGATTGAATGAATCTTATTTCAATCGGTTCTATTTTTCTTATTTTAATCGGTTCTTGTTCCACTAAATGGTTCCCTAGGGGACACTTGATTTATGTCGGCTAATTTTCAAAATCTTTCTGAATAGTATCGCCTCTTCTTCTCAAACCTTCCGCCTCACCCCTCTACTCACTTGTGTAGCATGTTTCATTGTTTCGCCTTTCAGTGAACCCTTGTTCACATATCAGTCACTCTCAATAGACATGTCAATAGTTCTACTCTCTTGCTCTACACCGACTACAGCCTTCGCTTCCCACTGGAATGTCTTCGCCACCTCGCACTATCCATCCCGTGAAATAAACGTGGCCTTGGTCGCATGATTTCCAGACACCGTTTTGGTACCCTGGGAAATTGGCGAAGTCTCCTGCTTCCTCGGGCGGTAACGGTGGAAGTTGCAGCTCCGTTCTTAGAAAGTGGACTGTTTCTCTCAGCCATTCAAGATCTAGAGCACGATCGTTACCCTGAAAAAACATTGCAAACCGATCGCAAGCCAACTTTAGTCGAGTGCTACCTGTTCTTGAAAAAGGGATTTGGAGTTTTGCAGCTTCAATTTGGGCCTCTAGCATATGACTGAAAAGAAAGAACTTCGTTGTATGTTCGTGCACCTGACAAAGAGTTTTCAAATTGGGTTGAGGTTGCTCAAGGTATTCTTTGATATTTTCTAGCGCATTCATGGTAATGTTTTCGAGTTGCTCCACGTCCCCCTGCTGTGTGGAGATACCTTGATTTATGTGTACTTGCGCTAGAACCTGCTGTGATGCTTGTGCTTTCTTAAGGATCGTCAAGTGATTCTTAGCCATAAAAAGAAACAGAATTGTGCGTTCATGCATTTGATGTACATCACGTGGGAAAACCTGCATAACGCGAAGAACTGTTTGCGGAAACTTCAGCTTCCTCNTGTTTCATTGTTTCGCCTTTCAGTGAACCCTTGTTCACATATCAGTCACTCTCAATAGACATGTCAATAGCTCTACTCTCTCGCTCTACACCGACTACAGCCTTCGCTTCCCACCGGAATGTCTTCGCCACCTCGCACTATCCATCCCGTGAAATAAACGTGGCCTTGGTCGCATGATTTCCAGACACCTTTTTGGTACCCTGGGAAATTGGCGAAGTCTTCTGCTTCCTCGGGCGGTAAGGGTGGAAGTTGCAGCTCCGTTCTTAGCAAGTGGACTGTTCCTCTCAGCCATTCAAGACCTAGAGCACGATCGTTACCCTTAACAAACACTGCAAAGCGATCGCATGCCAACTTTAGTCGAGTGCTACCTGTTCTTGAAAAAAAGATTTGGTGTTTTGCAGCTTCAATTTGTGCCTCTAGCACATGACTAAAGAGAAAGAACTTCCTTGTATGTTCGTGCACCTGACAAAGAGTTTTCAAATTGAGTTGAGGTTGCTCAAGGTATTCTTTGATATTTTCTAGCGCATTCATGGTAATGTTTTCGAGTTGCTCCACGTCCCCTTGCTGTGAGGAGATACCTTGGGCTGCGTGCACGTTTGCTAGAACTTGCTGTGATGCCTGTACTTTCTTAAGAATCGTCAAGTGATTCTTAGCTATAAAAAGAAACAGAATCGTGCTCTCATCCATTCGTACATCTTGTGGAAAACAGAACTGCATAATGCGAGGAACTGTTTGCGGAAATTTCAGCTTCTCCACATCAAACTTTAGGTGCCTTAGATCCTTTCCTAAGACATGGACAGACTTGGAAACGTCAACTGCAAGCTGGTGTACTTGTGTCTTGACGATGTCAATGTTCCTCAGTGTCCTTTTGACGAGATTTCCATAGCGATAGCTGAATGTAATTGATCTAGGACATCTTGGACAACGCATGAGTTGAACGTCACTGCTCTGTTGACGCAAAATCCATTCGTCCATTTCTTTAACTGTTATGATGTGACCACAGTCGAAAAGTTCTAGACATCTTGTGGGTTCCGTTTTGTTAACACGCCCATCCTTTAACATAGAAGATAGCTTTTTAGCGTGACAGATAGCACACACGGTGGGACAGTTTTCTCCACACAAGCCAATACATTGGTGGCCACAAGAAAGCTTTTTAGGACAGGGAGCGTCACAACGAGGGCGGTCGCATTTCTCACCACAAAGATTGTTGCACTGGTAATGAGGACAACTCCATGTACAAGGCTGTCTACATGGTCTGCATGGCTTTGAGCAGTGCTCCTTACACTTATCATGGGGACACCTTCGACAGCATTTACTGACACACGGAGGGCAAGGCTCACAGCATGTTGCTCTGCAACGGTGCAAGCAAACGAGAAAACGACTGCATGGATTCTGGCAAATTTCGTGTGAATTCCTTTGCCGACAATCCCCACATGTCCCAGAACACTGATGACCACATTGCAGCTTTGTTCCACATGCTACAGGGCACCTCACATTTT